AATAATATTTTATTTTTTTTAATTTTAAATAACAATATTATATAATAAAATTTATAATAAATTAATAATGATATTTATCTATAATTATTTTATTTTTATTTATTAAGATTTGAAGATAACATGTCAGAGATACTACACAGAACCACAAAATAAATCATGTCTCGAATCCAACATTTATCGTATGGACATGTGTTATATTTTGTTAGAAAACATCATGCCAATATTGTAAGAATATCACTAATCATTATTTATGTTGATTGAATCTCATTGATAATAAACGTGTGCTTATTTATAAAGATGATAGTTTACTTACTTGTTAGGGTACAAGTGTATTTGATAATATACATTATCAATGAAAAGGATCTGTTATTATGGTTAAGACTAAAATGAAAATTGTCCATAATAATGTAGTAGTAATTATATATTCTTCTTAAAACAAGAAAGTAAAGAAGAAGATTTTAGTACTCGTTAAAATCAGACATACTTAAATGATGAATATTTAAATCAGATATATAAAATACTCTATTATAAAATAAATATGAAGAAATGAATTTCTCACATTTCAACAACTAAAAGCAAAGAATAAGCCAATGTTTGCTGAAAAAAAAACCTTTTATAAGTCAAAGTGAATAATCTGCACTGAACAATGAACAATAAAAAATAAACCATTAACACACAGTTATCAACTTTTTTCATATTTTATTATTTTTCAATTTGTTCATTTCTTAATTTCTTATTTAACTAATTCATTCTAATTCATTCACTTCATTTATTATTCTATTTCTTTATTTTCTTGTATTTTTCTTTGATTGAATCTTTAACTTTCTCCATTTTCATTTTATTTTGGATTGAATATACTTCCTGTTGTATAATATCATTGTTTTTTTTTCTTTATTAATTATTTTTGATTTCTTCATATTCTCCTTTTTCAATTTACCTCTTATTTTCATTTTAATTTCATTCTTTGTTATTATTCTATATTTCTTATTGGTATTGTCTTTACCATCATTCTATTTGTTCATATTTTCTTATTTATCTTTCATTTCTTATTCTCTTTTTATTCAGTTTTTCGTTGTATTTCTTTTACCATTCTTATACACATTTTATTACTATTTCATCATTCTCTTGTACATTCTTGAATGTTTATTTCTTGTTTACCTTTCTTTACATACTCAAGATATTATTTCATAACATGATAATATGATTTGATAATGAGTTGTATTAAAAAGATCTATAG